AGACTTAAGAGCTTGCCATAACGCGAAGTTATATGCTCTTTCTAATGAAGCACGTGGCAGTGGAAGAAGGAAGTTGGGTCAGTAAATGAGCATGCAAATAAATATTTGGCCTTTTTACATTGATTTTCGTAAAGAAATGAAAGGCCACATACTTTCAATTCTTGATTTTGAGGATGATCCAGCGTCCTGGGCAGATGCCTTTGAGCTCTCCCACTCAGCCTTCTCCGCCTTGTGCTTTTTCTCCAGCTGTTGCAGTTTTTCCTCTGCCGTCCGCTGGCCCTTCTCATGCTGAGAACATGCGAGCACGTGGTCCCCATGAGACGCAAGATGACAAAGAAACAGAGACAGAAAGGGACGAAAGTAGTTAACTATGTCGTTATAGAACAGTGAGACATGTGCTTATTTGTAGCCAGATCGACCGGGGAAAGTTCCCCGGAAGAAGGGAGGGCACGTGACAGAAACAAAGAGGAAAAGAGGACAGTGGCATATATTTTTATGGGAATGATAAGAAATCCTTTCTGGGGTGCAGCCGGTACACTTGCCACGGATAAGACTACCTGCCCGTACCTGGCTGATTTTTTCTTCGAATTCCTTGACCTGCCTCTCCAGTTTTGTCTTCTCCTTCTGCAGCGCATCGATTTTTGCGATCGAAGCGCCACCCGCGGTGGAGGCTACTTTCCCCCTGGTTTCCTCCTGTCATCGGGTATCATCATGTCATGGGACATCCATGAAGCACCACTAATGACCGTATTCGTCAGGGTGACGTGTCTGCACTTTGAAGACGGCTTTCACGCGTACTTAATGGCTGTCATGCTGACTATTTAGCTAAATAGTTATTTAGCTAATCTATGTTTATTTAATGTATTTATTCAATAAAACTATTCAGCTAATCTCTCACGATGGTGAAATAACATCAGAACGCGTTAAAATAAGCCTGCGAACAAAACTAAGCAGAACTATGCAGCAAACAACGTCCAGCAGAAGGACCGATGTCCTAACACAACTGGAGATAGTTGTGCAGCCCTAAGACAAGGCAGTTATCAGGTGCGGTTTTTGGTAACACATGCTAGAAGCAATAAAAACACTTGACCCTGCGGTTCAAAATGTGAGTTTACATTGGGTGAGTGTTGGAGTGTAAAAACCTGACCAGAAGGCAGGCAGTGTGTCCACTGGGCTTTATCTACATTGGCCCACAATTTGCGGAAACATCGATGAATCATGAGCATTGTGATCAGCGTCAGTGCTCCGATCCAGCTGCTAGCAAACAGAACGCGTGCATAATTGCTCCCAACTGATGCCCTGATCCAGACCTCTAAGAGTCTAATAGGGCCACCAACTTTGTCGCTAGTTCGAACACGTTACTGCGTCATCTGTCGGTTACGGGTGTTCCCGAGGTGAGAGTGCCAGACCAGACGGTCACAGCCGCTCACCATCTCCTTGAGGCGACGCTGTTTCTCCGTGTTGGTCTTCTCAAGGTCGGCACAGCGGACCTTCAGCTGGTCTAGTTCGGCCTTCAGCTGATCCCGCTCCGTCAGCCAGTGGGAGGACAAGCTACGCTGACTGCTGTCCAGCTGCTGCCACTTCTCCTGGGTCTCAGTCAGCTGTGGGCACGCGCCAGACCGCTGTCACCGCTGCTGTTCACGCACAGGTGTCATCACCGCTGCTGTTCACACACAGGTGTCATCACCGCTGCTGCTCACACACAGGTGCTGTCACCGCTGCTGCTCACACACAGGAGCCGTCACCGCTGCTGCTCACACACAGGTGCCATCACCGCTGCTGCTCACACACAGGTGCTGTCACCGCCTGCTCACACACAGGTGCTATCACCGCTGCTGCTCACACACAGGTGCTGTCACCGCTGCTGCTCACACACAGGAGCCGTCACCGCTGCTGCTCACACACAGGTGCCATCACCGCTGCTGCTCACACACAGGAGCCGTCACCGCTGCTGCTCACACACAGGTGCCATCACCGCTGCTGCTCACACACAGGTGCTGTCACCGCTGCTGCTCACACACAGGAGCCGTCACCGCTGCTGCTCACACACAGGTGCCATCACCGCTGCTGCTCACACACAGGAGCCGTCACCGCTGCTGCTCACACACAGGTGCCATCACCGCTGCTGCTCACACACAGGTGCTGTCACCGCCTGCTCACACACAGGTGCTATCACCGCTGCTGATCACACACAGGCGCTGCCACCGCTGCTGATCACACACAGGTGCTGTCACCGCTGCTGCTCACGCACAGGTGCTATCACCGCAGCTGCTCACACACAGGTGCTGTCACCGCCTGCTCACGCACAGGTGCCATCACCGCTGCTGTTCACACACAGGTGCTATCACCGCTGCTGCTCACACACAGGTGCTGTCACCGCTGCTGCTCACACACAGGAGCCGTCACCGCTGGCTGCTCCCACACCAGGTACCATCACCGCTGCTGCTCACACACAGGTGCTGTCACCGCTGCTGATCACACACAGGTGCTGTCACGCTGCTGCTCACACACAGTGCTGTCACACACAGGTGCTGCCACCGCTGCTGTTCTCTCACGGACGCTGTCCCAGCTGCTGCTCTCAGACATATACTGTCCCAGCTGCTGCTCTTACACAGATGCTGTCACAGCTTATGCTTTCACTAGGATGCTGCCATTGAGGCTGTCAAACGGCCGCTGTCGCAGTTACTGTCATGGCAGAGCTGTAACAAAGTCGCCGTGGCATTGCCTCTGCTGCAAGCCTGCTATCATCGTGTCCCTGAGACAGACCAGCTGACCAGACCAGACCAGACCAGGCCAGGACCGCTGTCACAGACTTTGCCACGGAGCAGACGCAACAGAGTTGTCACATACTTGATGTAACAGAGTCGTCACAGAGCCGATGTAACAGAGGCATGATCACAGAGCCGGAAAGATGGCCGCTGGCACAGTGCCTCTGACGGCGGCTGTCACGGCGCTTCAGTCACAGCTGCTGTTGCTGTCCTCCGTGACAGCACTACGACGCCATCCAGATTGCTCTCAGCCAGACGCGTGCAAGCGCTCACAGAAATAACGAATGCTCCGAAGAGAAGGCGCTGGCAATGTGGGCAAAACAATGGCTTGCAACAAAATCATCTCTACAATTGTCGATGGGTTCAGTTTTAACGTTGCCCAAGGAACATTGGCAACGCATCTCAAAGCAATCGAGACATCTAAACAAGACAGCGAACTCAATGCAAGACTGCAATGGATGGAGACCGTCATGCGTAAGTGCTTTACTCGTCTGGAAATCATTTTTCCCTGAAGACTATTTTACGCCAGCTCGAAAAGCTCCATTGTTTAGCTAGGCTCGCGTACCTGCGAGTTGGCTAGCTCCACCTTCTCCTGCAGCTCTTTCACTTGCTTCTCTGACTTCTTCAGCTTGGAATCGCTGGTTCTAAGCTTGGTCTCCGTCTCCGTCAGCTTCAGAACTTGTTCTGCGAGCTGGACATCAAAAATGCTAGCTGCTAGGGTGTACACACGTAGCATGCACGGGAAACGCGAGTGCTCGCAAACTAAAGTAGTACATGGCTTGCACCTTGTAACCGCGGAATCGCTTAGACTGTCGTTGACCACTGAGAACTCGTTAGCTGTTTTTAAGCGCAGTCATATTTGTGGTGCTACCTTACAAGGGCGTATCTTCTCAAATCAGAGCATGTAAAGCCAACGAAAACGTTTACTGAGAACTTCAAAACAATCAGACCATGCAATATTAAAACACAAAATTATCATGTCATGAAACTTCCAAACATGATACTATCATATCACGAAACTCCAAGTCTTAGCATGATATCATGAAACTTCGACAAATGACTCTATCATCTTATAGAATTTTAAGACATGACATTGGCACGTAACAGAGAAGGAATATCACCGAATCGTAAGTTGTTACGATGACAATATTCGACCTCCGGTGCAGCTCGAAGTATGATCCTTAGTTGAACAATGGTCCATGGTATTGGTTGTGGCTAAACAAATACGTCAAACAATTAGTGGAATTTACTACGAGGATGCTCGACACGCTGTTCGCGCTCGCGTTTTTGATGAAACTCCAAAAGGATTTTTGGAAAATTCGCAGGGAGTTTATGAAGTGGCGAAGTAAACAGAAAATTCTGAAGTAACCAGACTTTCAAGATTTTAGAACTCCAGTTTGCAGACGACGAGCTGAGCAAATAGGTGGATACTGCCATACGATCAAGCGGCTTACGCCTTGGGTAGTGTGAACTATTGTTAGCTTACTGTTCGTTTTAGTCCAAACAGCGCTAGAGACTCTAGCGTGTAAAGCTGACAGTAGAATTTGTGATAGATGTGTTGACGGACATACGTTAATGTGCTCAGAAGAAGGTAGCACACAAAAACCTTGGCTTGTTTTCCATTGAGCAACACCTCTTGCCATATTGAAGACCGCTTGCTTTCAGCGCAACAAGTCATAACCCCGAAATATAACGAGCTTAAAACTTTTCTCGCTCAAGTAACATATTATCGCTCTATTACTTTTACACATCCACACTCGCGCCAAAGTTCTCTCTTTCTATTAAGTACCTCTTTCTCGGTGCTATCTTTGGCCTCTTCACCCTTCTTTGCCCTTTGCAGTTGACGTTCCTTTAACTCGAGCTGCTGTTTCAGCTCTTTCAGGCGAGATCTTTCTTCCTGCAACTCTTTGGACATTGTTTCTACTTTGTCTTTCATTGCTCGGGTTTGGTCTGCCGATGCCCTTGCGGACGAACCTGCAAATCATGTGCAATGCGATTATGAGAGCAGTGCTATACCGCAAAACTCCCTAACAAGTATAGCTTAAGGTCGTTAACGAAGAACAGAAAAGCCTTCGCCAGCTTCGCCAAGGTTCCTGGTTCAATTCTGTTCCATCCAGTTCAACAGCACTTGGACCCGTGCCTCAGCTAACCGCGAGAGGCAGACACAGTGAATTGGGCACAGCTACCGAGCATGGTCGAATCTTTCCTAATATTCAATCACCTTGTTCAGAGAACTCCGGCAGCGTAGTCAGTGCCCACAGAACAATCCGCGCTTAGCAACAATTCTGAGTCCAACGGCATTCCAGCATACAATTAATGCCACAAATTTTATTGAAAAGCTTGTCCGAGCCGATGCTCGTGTTGAGCCCGCCTATAAAGCTGGGGACCGATAGCGCTGCCCAAACTCGGGGTTTTGGCTTAATGTTGTCCTTTTACTTTGCTGGTCACGTCAGACTTACTTGAATCAGATTCCAGCCTCTGGTTTTCACGCTCAAGTTTGGCTTTCTCCCTTTCCACCTTCTGTTTTTCCTTTTCCGCTTCTGATTTGCTTGCTTCTATCTCAGCCTTCGCTACCTCAAGATCCTTCTTCTCCCTTTCAAGTTTGCTGATATTTTGCTTAAATAGATCCACATTCTTGGAAAGGTCTGTGACTTTCTCCTCCAGCTCCAGCGTTTGCTTTGATTTGGCAGAGCTGTTTGCAGACTTGTTTTCTTTGGAATTGTTTTTTTGCTGGATATTGTACACAGCTGAAAACAAATATTTCACAGCGTTGATCGCAAAGCACAGCGTCCAAAGTCGGTGCCCACATTATGGAAACGGCATAACCATGTGTTGACAATTATTTTGCATTCACTGGTAATGCACGTAATGTATATTAACCGATGGAAACATTGCCAGAAACGGAGATCCATTAGAAGCTTTCACCTAAAACATGACCGCTCTTCACAATTCATAACGCATACATGAATCTTTAAACACGCGTCCGGGTGGACGGTTGAATGCTACGCGCTCGGGTAGGGCTCAGTTTAGGCTTATTGAGTCTTAAAAACTAATAGAGCTAGATACACCAAATTTACAGGCCTAATTGACCTGTATAAAACGCTCTCTTGCGTCAAATTTAGTGTGCCTAGGCCATGACCTTCGGGTCAGATGAGGTCAAATAAGATTAAGCTCCTGAATGGTGCCCGAAGAGCCATCAGCCCTCCTCATGCAACCATCTTTGAGCTAAACACCTCTTCTCAGTGAAACGCCATTGGTGTTAATTCCACGTCAGTGCATTTCAGAAGGTGAATTCGACGAAAAAGCTTTGAGATCTTTTAAAAGCTGAATTTAAATAAGCGTCCAAGACTGCGAGAAGTGGTACCATTCTAAAAGCAGAAGGTTGATAGGGATGATTTTAAGTCAGTGGACGTCTCTAGCCTTTACGAAGTCCAAGCAATGCGTTTGTTGACGTCCGTGCGATGCAAATCGAACTGAACGTCCAAAACTTTTCCATTATTAAATTTACCTAGTAAGAGAGTGACTTAGTTTTGACATTTTAACTCAGCAAATGCCAAAAGAACTAGCCGTAAAAATAACTTCTATTGTCTACGAAACCATCTCAAGGAATAATGGCTCCTCTGCCGATCCGCTGCCGCATCAAAGTGAACGATTTGAAATTAATCACCTTCACTGACAGCAATCGTCTGACTTTGACGCGCCCCAGGTCAGTGACCTTACAAGGTACGTCTAATTCTGTTAGACCAAAAGATTGACCATTCAATTGCCTACAGTTAGACATAATTTCTAGCGCCTATGCCATGCCGCTCGGAAGTTATCCGTCGTCGTCACTGGGGCTTTACGACGCACTCAGCTGCTGAGGCCTATCAAACGTCGCCGCCCTTTCCTGGCAAGAAGGGCGGGCACCACGGGGAATCGAGCCCCGTGCCTCTGCTTTTCCATACGCGCAGTGGTTAGCGCAGTCGCGTGAACCACCACGCTATCAGCAATTATTCGTGGAGGGGAAGGGGGTTCAAATTGCGCCGCCTCCCACCAGAGCGGAGTCTGGAAACATTTCCATAAATGTTATGGACTTACCTATTTCGTCTTCCAGCTCTTCAACCCACTTCTTCAACGTGTTCTTAGGCGTCAGGTCGGTCACCTTCTTTGGAATTCTCGTCTTCAGGCTAGGAATGTCTTTCATTTTACGCACTGTATCATTTAGCCTATCTCGCTCACTAGTAAGTTCACTAACTTTTCTCTTCGCAACACTCAGTTCTCGCTCCTTGCTCTTCATCTCACTTTGCAGTGTGTCCTTCTCCCTTCTCAGTCCATCCACGTCTACCTCGCTATTCCGCTCCAGTTTACGGCCCTCGCGTGGCGACCGACTGGGGCTGAGTCTGCTCTGGTCGGCACCAGATGGCTCTTTGATCACCTGGCGCAGCTCAGCGATGGTTTTGTCCCGGTCCTCGAGCCGGCGCTCGGCTCTGACGAGACGCTCATCCACCTCGGCCCGCTCCATGGAGGCCAGCTCCTGGGCGCTGGGCGGGGGCTTCTTGGCCAGGCGCACACTCAGACGGCGGTTCTCCACGGACGTCTCCGTCATCTCCGATTCCAGCGTAACGTTCCTGTCGCGCAGCCTCTGGACCTCCTGCTCCACCAGTTGCAGCTGACGCTTCAGGTCCACGCTCTGCGGGTCGTTCATGTCCAGCGACCTGCCGCAGTACACTCAGTTAACCGGCTGGAAAACCACGTGCACAGCGATGACATTTTCACGCGATGAGACACGCTCAGGCAATAGGCAAAAACGTTTGATAATGAGAACTGCTGCATTCTGGCTAAACTGAATGCCGCCGTTGAATTCGGCCGGTTGCAAACTTTTGGACAACACCCTTCCAACGCACGATTTGACGCTAGAGTTAAGCCATCCCGCCGCTAGATTATAGTCCAAACCAGTCCATCTGGTGTTTTGTTAAGGACGGGCTTCAATAGCAGTAAACATCAACACCAAACACCCATGCGTGCGGTTACAACGGGGCTTTAACGGTGAACCATAAATCACCGCCATCTGGCTCAAGTAGCTCATCCTGAGTGCAGCATTCTTCCATTACACTACAGGGTGTTACACATGAAAATCGATTTTAAACCCTCAAGAAAAAATGTTTAAAATAAGCCAACCACGAACTACCTGAGAGGCATTGTTGAAAATTGCCTGAGCTCCATATTGGTGTCTTCTATTGACGATAGGATATGGGACCGGATATATGATAGGAGCTATATATATTCTAAAAAAGCATCCCATGGAATCCATACCACCGGAAATACTCATTCAAAATGGTGCGTGCTTGCAGACATGTAGCTGAGTTAAAATATTCCGAATCGATTGGCATTTATCATCACAAGCGGACCTACACTCCTGTGTTCATCTTGGAGGCTTGTCGACCACCACCATGCTAGTGTCCCTCCTGTGCGCTTTATTCGTTTGCGGAGTCATTTGCCTCGGAGGTGCTTATCAATTGTTATGCCATCGTTCCTGTGTCGCTTCTGCAGCGTAGATAGCTATTGTTCAGAGCCAGAGCCTTCCATTCGATGAGATCGTTCCGGCGGTTAAAAAAACACTTGGTCTGGAAATTTGCTAGCTTATGAAATGCGTTACCTTGAAGACCGGCGCTGATGAAGTCCAAACGGTGAACGTTTATGCTGTTCTTTGGCCCATGCTAATAAACACCAGAAGAGTTGTGGTTCTCACTTCCTTTCATAATCATGATGTCGAACAGTTCGATGAATTACCCACACATGGAAGAGGAATAATAGCGCATGGAAACAGATGGCCGACGGCCGCCGAGGATAAAAGTAACCCTGTCTATTTCTAGAGCCACTTTCGAACCGTTCGGTGCTGCTCTACTAAACGTTTGATAGCTGCCAATGGTAAATCTGACGCATTCTGTTGACAAATGTATTCGTGCTAGGTCCGCCAAGGAATCATGACGCCAGCAATGCACGCTGGCACGGCTACTCGAGACTCCGCAGGCATGCATTCGCGCTCTTCATTCCAGGTTTAGATGTCTTTGATGCACGCTATCCCTGATTCCAGTGCGCGCCATCAAGGTTCAGTCATCCCATACGCTGAAACCGCGGGTCAACGCGACACCGAATGAGAATGCAATGCGGATGTGTCGAACCAATGAGTTGTGTCACCCGCTTATTGTACTATGTTGGTAAAACTGATCACCTTCCAAACCAACGAACTCTTGAATGACGTCATAATTTTGGTGCAAAATTCTGTCCCGGAAGTCGATTTCTTCTTTGGTTTATGTGTATTTATTACATCTGTATTTAGACCCATACTCATGCTTAGAGGCCCCGAAATCCTCAGGAAAACCTGAGAGCCTTTAAGGTATCTTACGCTATTCTGTACCGTAATCTGTCATTTGATGGCATTCGATACAACATTTCTGGGCGCCGACGACCAGCGCTCCCCATTGTCATTGAATTTTTTCACACACGATAGCTGGATCCGGAAATCGCAGGGTGCTTAGAGCGCTCAAAGCGATGGCGGTTGGCGAAATGCCCTGGACAGTATCAGGTCGAGCACCAATGCGCCAGATGCCAATGATGCGGTCTGAAGGCCTTGCCGACCCAGTTGGCACGCACATCCAAGTGCCCGGGTCACAACATTGGTGGTCTAATCCAAAAGATCAGGCTTGACGTGTCATAGCTCGGCTCCAGGCAAACAGGAAAATTATAAACACCTTTTTCTACCAATCTTTAATTTCATGGCCACCAAATCGTACCACATAGCAACTGTGTCACTCGGTCTGTCAGGGATACCTTTTACGGCACCGACCGACCGTTCTACCGACCGTTCTACCGGTCGCTCTACCGACCTGCTGCGGGCGAAAATAACCTTGCCGCCCTTCTTGCCCTTGAGCTCCATCTCAGTCCTCAGAGAGTCGTTCTCTCGCTCCCTGTCGATCAGCTTCTTCCGCAGCTCGTTCATCTCCTCCTCCAGCACACTGAGGACGCAATATTAAGCTGCTGGGAGCACAGATTCGGTTGAATCCTGGCGGCTATTCAAACCGTCAGCAGGCTGCCAACAGGCTTTGGCATGAGTTCCAAGCACTTGCGGCACTAAATGCATTTGGATTTTGAGGTGGGTACTTGTCCACGGCAATGACCCTTTAACTGTCCTTGCATAAGTAATCAGAAGTAGCCGCATCACGCAACACACAGGAACGATGCATTACATCAATACCAAAAAAAGAGGCAAATGAGTGAATGCCCGGTAAATGAAATACTACGGCTGTCTAAAGTACTTTATTTTTTGTTCGTAGTAGGCGTTTGGATTGTTGATGTTGATCTCAGGAATCGGCGTCTTGTTGCCGTGAGTCGTTCTCTCCTGGAGCTCTTTGATCTGTCGCTGGAGTCGTTCATTCTCGTTCTCCACGTTGTCGACCTTTCTTCGTAGAGTGCTTGTCTCCTGCAGACAATTGTAAATTGAAGATAAGACATTCAGAACTATCTTACTGCTGGCGATGTATCAGCTTTCAGGACCAATCGGTCACCATCACATCTCGCATCTCACATCTTAACAACGTTTTGTGAAAAGTCAAATGTTAAACACTACATTTTCTTCAGTCAACTACCGACTTTGATTTATGTAGTGTGAAATGGCACAACTGGGCAATGCAGATTGGCGGACATAGTGTAGTTCTTGTGTGTCATTTCAATCGTAAATAGTCTTTTTTTCCAAAACCTTCAAACTTTTTGTGCTTGTTTTACCTGACCTGCTGCAGCGCACTGACCCGCTCGTTCAGCTCCAGCTGTATTTTCAGCTCCTGGGGTGACAGCTCCTCAATGTCCTCCGAGATGCCTTCATCCCTGTCGGCGGACACTGCCGAGCTGTCCTGGCCAGCCGGGCGGCGAGCTACCGGGAGCAATCAAACGTGTCAGACCTGCTCCACTCATACTCGGCTGACACTCAGACCCCCTGACCAGCTGAGGCACGTGGCGTCTGATAGGTTGGATCGGATTGGACGCGATTGGAATTTTGTACACGAATCACGTTTTGTGGTACATGATGCAGTAAGTTGGATAGTGGTAATAGTTATGACGGGCACCAGACTGGAAGCTGAATAGCTTAAGAATAGCGTTATAACCGAGCATGTGAACGCAAGTAAACAATAACAAATGATATATCATTCTGCAAAAATACCACGAGGAAAGGGGGTTCTGCCAACAACACACCGATAGCACGTCACTGCTCGAGAATTTGAAGTACTATAAGTGGGTCAGCCCGTCCGCTAAGATAGGAATTTCGAGCGACCACTTCAAAAGCCATTCTAACGCCATAGAAACTTTCCATTGTGCAATCAAACGATGACATATCAAGGATCATATTTACTGAATAGCAACATTTTGTTGTCTAGAGCAGTTTCCTGCACTTAAGAGCATATTAAAAGTTAGAAGTGAGCTTATTTCATCACATCTGATGCCTGTCTCAATATATTCATATGTGGAATATTTCCCCTCAGAAACAAACGTTACACAAATATCAAAAGGTCACAATCGGTGATAGGAGACATGTTTCACGAGAGGAGACGAGACAGGTGAGACAAGACGAGACGAGACGTGCTTCACGCCGACGAGAAGCGTCGCTTCAGAGCACCCTTTAAGTTGTGACGGACATGGCGATAAATGAGGACAGCACCTCGCTTTAAAGACCCGCCGGACGGTTGGCGCACAGCCTCTTTCGGCAAATAAAAGGAGGTGGCGATCCCTTCCTGGTTCCCACAAGATTAGAAGACTCTTGGCTGGTGTTAGATCTAACGGCTACTGACTCAGGCTGTCTGTCTGACCGCTGCGCACATTCTGCGCACCTGTTCACATTTTCGTCTTCCAGAAACGATTCTAGCGCCGAAGTTAAACGTGGCTTGAGCGGCGACCATGTATTTGCGCAGCGACTGTTCTATATCCAAAGACAATACTGGACGCGCGAGAAAAACAGCGCGGTAGCAATGGTAAGCAAAGAATCACCAAAGGGCAGATAATGGCAGAGATGGGAGAGAGCAGAAAGTGACTTGACACGGTACCGAGGCAGTTGAGGATGTACGATTCTCAGGAGAGATTACGGTCGAAGGCAATGCATCAACTTTTGGCTTCAGTGTATTTGGCCAGCATTCCGTCCCGAATTTTTCCGTGAAAGAGGATAGGTTGCACGTATTTTGGCATGTGCCTGGATGGCAAAATTGAGTTTCGTTTCCTGCAGGTCATTTGGAGCCAAAATAGCCACGAAATGACACTCGTCTTGACTCTATGTCACCGATCATTGACGGGAGAAAAAACTCCCGGCCAGAGACGAGATGTGGGTATTGTCGCCGTGTTAGTATGTTACAAAAGTGCCAATGACATACAGGCTGAGGTCAATAGGGATGACAGCAAAGAGAAGGAATCCAAAAGGACGAGCCTCAAAAAGCTATCTGGTAGGCTGCTGAGTAGACATTTGGAAACCAACGATGCAGACGCTTGGCAAACGGACAGACAGGCACTTTCTGAACCAGCCAGTGTTAATAATTGAAGCTGCAGACTTAAGTAATTGAGAATGTTTGATGACGTGAAACATTTCCGAAGGTCAACGAGTCGGAACAAAAGAAAGAATGTAAGATACCGCGAGATTCATAGTCAAGACATCAGCTTTTCATAACTATTGTTAAATAGTCGCGGTCTGCCCCAAACCAACATTAGCGCTCTCGCTCCTCATCTAAACCAAAACATGGGCATATGCCAGCAAAGTCTCGCTATGACAAAGCTCACTCTTTTTAGCCATCTTCTTGAGCTGAATGGCGAGGCTCTCGTTCTCCTCTTCGGCCCTAAGCAGCTTTTTCCGGAGCTGGGCAGCCTCCTCCTCTGCAAACTTCATCTGCTCTCGCAGGTCCGCTTCCCGCTCCAGCGTGTCCTGCAGGTCTCGCAGCAGCTTGCTCTCGTCGCTAGCTGACTGACTGAAGCGGAAAATGATCAGTGCCAATTTTCAAGTATTAAACCACACTGGGAAAACCACATGGTTTTAAGACTGCATCTAGCAATACAAAAGAAGCAAACAAAAAGTGTAAATCATGTGTGTCAAAAGCACATCAATTACTAAACTGGGCAGCGTTGAGAAACATGACGGCTGCACACACGAACATAGTACCTCAAACTAACACAGTGAGGGAGGGGCATTTTAGTACGGATAACAATAGCATAAGTCTGCGGTGAATGCTTCAAAAATAGGTATTTTTGTTTTGTTATTCGACAAGCTATTCAGCGGCAACATTTGCCACTCATATTTCAAATATATGCTTAGTAGGATCGGCAGAACTCAAACGAACCCTTTTAAGTCTCCCCTTACTTGGCTCTCTCAGTACTAGCGCTACGCGGCGACCGTTAGGCTAATCGCAGTTTTCCTGTCCAGCCGGCAGCTGTGCTCCCCGCCATCAGGTGATCGCTACAGCGACGGACAGTCAGTTTGCCAACGCGACACAGGCTCCTCGCGCAGCTCTTACCTGTCGCTTGATGGGTGCCTTCACGTCTAAAGAGTTGTTCTTCTTCCGCAGCATCTCCACCTCCTCACCTAACTTCATAGAGACCTCCTTAGCAAGCTTCAGTTCATTCTCTAATTTTTCCGTGTACTGTGAGCTACCAGCAGCTGCACCAGAACCCTGCAAGCTCTTGAGCTCATTCTCTAAAGCCGACTTTTGCTGCTGCACTTCATCGTTTACACGCTCTGCCTTTCTTAGTTTGAACTGAATAATCCGGCAGTTCTTATTTGCCTGCTCCAGCTCTCTCTTGAGATCATGATATTCATCTGCTTGATCCTCCCGAAAGTTGTCGTGAATTTCATTCATTTCCTCTTCCATGTCCCTCAGTTGTCCTTTAAGGTCATCATTCTCTTCTTGTAGATCTTCCACCGAGCTCTCGGCTTTGGATAAACGCATTCGCAGATCTGTCAGGATTTTGTCTACGTCTCCAGACACTGGGCGTTTCTCAATCTCCCTACTCAGTTCTTGCACTTCCAGCTCCATACTCTTCTTCTCATCTAGAAGGTCCTCGTTTGACGATGTCAGCTCGTGCACCTTCTGCTGGAGTTTAACCATTTCTGCCTGCGACTTTGACTTCTTCGCGGCTGTTGCCTGCTTCTCCATCAAGTCCTTCTTTTCCTTATTGAGGCGATCCACCTTCTTTTTTAATTTGTCCACCTCTTTCTGAAGGGATGTGACGGTTTTCTCGAGCTGCTGGTTTTTCTCATCCACCAGGGTGGTATCAGTGGTGTCCGTGCCACCCGTCGCGTCGGTCCAGACCGAAGACTCCGAAGGCGCCATCGTGCTGAGATCGTCATCGTCGTCCGTCACCTTCTTGGCGTTCTTCAGCTTGATGATGAAGGCGACATCTGCGCTCATTCCGTTGCTGCTGGAGGAGTCAGTTTTCACCTCCCTGACGGAGATCTTCTTGCGGGTAACTGCAGCAGGTGAGGAGGGGCTGACCGTACTGACGTCACGCGGCGGCACCGGTGGCGCCTGCGACTGCGCTGTGACAGCTGACGCGAAGGATCCATCATCTTCAGGACTTCCGACGCTCGCAAAATCTGCACAAAAAGAGGGAAAGGAGTCATGTGCATGGCTCTCGTTCTTTCCGAAATCAGGTGGCAAGCGCTGCAAAGGTGGCCTGGTTATTCCATGATTATTACATATACTTCCCTCTGAGAGAGCAATCATGACAAGAAAGCAAGCTGGATTGTCAGTAATAACACTAAAAGTATATATCCAAGCTGTCCAAATATCACTTGGGCAGAAGCAGCATCACAAGTCTGGGACACACGAGTGGTAGCCAGGGGTGGGTTGGCAGCCTTCAGGGCGGCCCGTCCCCCCCCCCCATAAGCAAATTTTGCTCGCCCTTGAATGCACTACCATCATCCTTATCCTTGACCGTCGATGTGTCGTCGTCGTCGTCGCCGGTGCCGACCGTTCGGAGATCCTGGGCCGACCACGACGACGGCTTTAGGCTGGACCAGGTGCCCAGCCGCCTGCCGAACACACATCGGTCAGCGATGGCAGCATCTTCGGAAGGCACAGCTAGTCAGCGACAGCATCGGCCACGGCTGGCACATAGCGGAAGCGACAACGCCAGCTTCACAATTGGACCTTTTCTTTGTTATTTATTATTTTATTTTTATTATTTATTTACTTTATTATTATTATTTTATTTTATTTTTATATTATTTGTTTTTATATTTGTTGTATTTTTATATTTTAGTTTATATTATATTTATATTATTATTATATTATATTATTTACTTTTACTTTATTATTAGGGCCAATTCTATAAAAGGGTATAGAAGGTACATGACGGTTATCTGTTTTGGTAAAAGTATGAAGGTAAAAAGGTATCACTTAGTGGTCAATTCTATTAAAAAAGGGCTATTGGAGACCCTCCCTTAGAACGTACAATGTTTCCATGTGTCCGAACGGGTCCAGTATATATGACCAGGCTCAACAAGCCCATTTCCCATTCCGAACAATATGTCAACTCAAACCATGCATTTCTTTCCCAGCATTTCACCGAACTGTGTTTGCTTATTGTCCTCCGGCATGGAGCTTTGAAGACCACATAAATTCACGAATTGCCATAGGACTGATGTTGAGCTGCTGCGCTCCATGCAAGGTGAGTCATCTGGGGCGTTCTGCGACGGATTGACCGATAGTCTTCACTCACATATCTTTGATTCATATGAAAATTGGTACGGCTGTTAAGTTGGTAATTAGTAATTTGTAATCATCCTTATCCATTTCGTGCGAAGAGGGTGGATATAAAAACATCGCACAAGGCGCCTTTTTATTGCAATCAACTTATTACATGGTCATACGTAATCTCGTTACGGTTGTGAGCCGATGCTCACAAGTAAAATACACCCCATGTGATAATCTTTGCAGTTTCAACACATTCCCGCACCAAAACCCACATTTCAAATACGCCGATAGGCCAAAACGATACGAGCTGATGATATCGACGCAATATGGACAATTTTGCAAGCTCGAAGGCATTGAATCTGTTTCGTTTATGTGTTTATGTTTTATTTTTTCACGCGTTTCGTTGATATTGATGACTCACAGTATGTCCACGCCCTATCTCATGTTTTTTCAATATGTGTACATTCCCCTCAGGCCCGTCTGATGGTTTGTGTGCGGTGATGTAATGGTTGTCGACTGGAACACATTCGTGAAGCTTCCGCACTCCTTACACCGGGAAAGCGTTCGCGTAGCGGGACACAAACGCTTCGGTGGTTTGACCATTTCGCCATTTCCTACGGAAGGAAAAATTATGACAGAGGAAAACTTTGCCGTTAAGAAAAAAAACATATTCTGTGTTGTCAATGTTGCAAAATGTTCGTGCAAGGATATCTCTAGTAGAAGCTCTTTAAGTCGTGCCTCCTATCAGGGCTTATTTCAAAAGCACGTCACTGGGGTAGGGGGGCTTCGGCCAGTCAAAAGTCCGGGTAACATAAAAGTAAAATATGCGTGCTTTGCCGACATTTTTGTCGTGCCCACAGTTGCCCAAAACTCTTATTTTTCTTTTTTACAAGCAAGTGATTTACGTTAGAACTAAGTTTAGACTCCGAACTGCAGAATCAGGTCGGCTACAATATGGAGGTGAACATGTTGTTTGCACACAATTGCACATATTGCACATAAGTTCTGTAAGGGCTCCGTCTCCAAACAAGACCATCATGCAGTGTAATATCTTCTGAAATGTGCGCCTTGTTGCATGCGTAGCTGTCTGTTTATCTCCTTTTGTTTGCTGACCAATTTTTAAACAGGGGACAGTAAAAGTCTGACATGCTCACATCACGCATGTACGAGCATGATGAGTGCGCATGCGTGCTGACGACCTTATACGGAGACTGATGAGTGCCTTGTGCCGAATCGAAGGTGCGTTTTTAAGCCCATAGTGCCACCATTATTCGTATACGATGAAAGAAATAGAGCAATGGCCGAGCCGTCGAATAGATGTTCACTTTGTTGCGCGAGTAACGATGAATTTTAGATGTCCCATATGTGGAACACTGAATTGCGCGATTTAGCGTCAGAGCACGAAATGTACGATTGCTGATTAAGGACGATCGTAGAGAATATGCGCACAGAACTTATTCAGTGATGCTTGAAGCTTTCTCAGACATCGGAGAAGTGAGTTGTCGACTAAATGAATTGCGGACCAGGCTAGAACTATACGGCATTGAAGGATCGCAACAGTGGTAAGAGGGTCAGAAATACAACGACGGCGGTAAAGGCAACATGACTCATTTGAAATTTCCGGCATGCAAAAGAAGGTGCAGTGATAACCAGACAGCAACCGAGCACAGATCGTCGTTTGAACTTCACGCGGGCTCATTTGCACGCCGCGCTACAAAAAGAGGCCTACTTGTCTGAACTACGCATTTCAGTGTTACCAGTCCGTACTGCACAACTTTTCAAGTGCTTCAGTAACTTTTATGGCCATTCAGCACGTGCCTTTAGCGAGCGATGAGAAACCGCGTCTGTTGTCGCGGCAGACTCGGCGGCTGAGAGATAGTATAACCTCATGAAATACCGGAGGCAAGCGCCACTCCTTGTGTACAGAGCCAGGAGCGTATGCATATCGAATCCCTGGGTGCATTTGCCCTCTTTCCCAAATTTATGGCGTATATTAATGCATACGTGACTTATGACTGTCAGATAAATTCAGGTGGACAGGTACACACGGGATAAAAAAACACGCGTTGTCACTTTACGGCATGCAACACATTTTGCACGCGTAGACCAAGTCCGGTTTATTGAGTGTTTTTTAGTCTTTCCACCCTCCTTACCTCCTGCTTGGGACGCGTAGAAGTAAGACGTATATTTAAGCCATCACGAAAATCGGGATGAAATGACTGCTTTAGCTTACGCCACCGATACATAGGTGTGCATGGAAACTGTAGGCAATTGTTTCGGTGCATGTGCGTGTACAAAAAGATCCAAACATCAGATTGCTTGCGATTTTATACTAATCAGCGAATAGAGACTAGCATGGGCGATGCTTCGTAATGACCGTGATACGCTGCACTACAAAGCAAAATTGTTCGACAGTCCATCACAGGACAGCCAAAGGGAGCAAGCACGGACGGCGAAAGCAAAGAAGGGGGACATGCGAGACTGCCGCGGTCGGCTGCCCCTCTCCCCCGAAAAGCCACCGTAACAAATGTTGAGTGAGTGCCGTAAGAGTGGCAAGCTATATCCAAGGTCCAAAAAATTAACGCAAACATTTCGACGTTGCATGGAAGGAACTGGGGGAAAAGTCGCGTTTGCATCCAGAATCCCTCAGAGGATTCGTCGTCACCGGAAGCAATTTGATCTTAGGCCGACAGCCTCCAGATAAATGGATAGATAGATCCCTCGTGCAATTGGATGTCACTTGCATGATGTCACGTTCGACATGCTTCGGGGTTATTTATTTCGGGTTGACCCGATAGCTGGATTTGCCGCATTTTTATGTCATCTGCCTTATCTTGCCTGGGGTAGCAGCTGTTCACAAAAATGAGGCAATCAGAATAGATTCCAGCAGAATTGCCACAAGCGTGGCTAGCTCCTGTTCGTCATATCCTTGCCCTAATTTTCGGCATGCACCCTCGCCAATCAAATTCCAGCTGACAGACAGGCACGTACAAACAAGATTCAGAGTGTGCAATGTTACTCTACGGTATGTAAACAATGTTGTGAGCCTTTCTGACTGATCAAACCTGTTCTGTCTGACCTGCACGGCATAGACCTGTATGCAGTTTCAAAGGCGGCTTCTCGCTAATTTTTGGTTTTAGCCTTTTTTACAGAAAAATAGTAGCTACCTCACCTTAAAACACTTGACCCCATACAGAATGCATGCATCCACTGTGACTCCGCCTCTACCTGAACCGTTTTAAAGGCATGATCGGGGATGAGTCGTGGGGGTCAGCTGACAGGCATTTATGGGGATTATCCCCCTCTCCTTAGTTCACATGTTAGATAGGCCCTGCCTTTTATACTGCTGCCGGCACTTACGGTGTGACGTTGCAAAAAACTTACTCTCACATGGAACTTTTAGATCATTGCTGGGATGATATATGTTAATCAAATGAAATATGTGGTTGCACTGTATCGTACGCCGCACATATAATTTTTGAATTTTTTATAGACTGGGTATGTGCTCCTTGAAGTGCGACATCACACATTGCGAAAACGCATATACCATGCCCGTACGTTACGCCTCGTAGCATCCTACACAAAGCAATGGTGTTTGTGGGGTCATGTGCCAAGCTCTCGCCAATAGACAATTCATGGGTTGATTATGCGTAGGGCCGTATTCCTGAAAAGAAACTCTGGCCCTTATTGTGTGCGATTGACGAATAGTTTTCGGAGAAGTCAACAATTACTATCACCTCCCCCGGTTCTGCCGAGTTTTTCACGTCGCTAAGTAACGGTTCGGAGCTTCGGCTATAAAGTGGTGTCTGGTGAGAGCTGCACAATCTTTCAGACAGGTTTTCCAGTAACTCTTAACCACATTCAACAATAGTAACAATGGTACATCTGCCGAAGGTCTCCCATTGTTTGTTTCGGACCTCGTTGAGAACAAACAATTATTCCCCTGATTATGATTATCTCTGCAGGTCAACACTCCTCTCAGCGTCGGGTCAAAGAATGGTCTGAAGCTATCTTCCCTAGGACAGTTAGAACAGCCATTCAACATGCATTCACGATTTTCAATATTGCACTTATTAAAAAATAATCAATCTATAATTCTGATGGTTTGTCCAAATACATACACTATGCGCATCGTTATTGCCAGGGCGAACACAACGTCCAGGTCACTGACCGGCGAAAGTTCAGAAACAGACTCAGCGATTTTCAGAATTCTTTTAAAAGTCGCAAATGTCCCTCAAGGTCCCCTGTATAAGCCGTTTTTCAGCTAAGCCTTTCGTCCTCCAGAGTCCCTGACCACTACATGGTCTTTCGAGCCGGGGTACACACGATCCACTGC